AGCTCTCAGCGCCAGCTCACAGCGCCAGCTCACAGCGCCAGCTCACAGCGCCAGCTCACAGCGCCAGCTCACAGGGCCAGCTCACAGGGCCAGCTCACAGGGCCAGCTCACAGGGCGCCCTTTGATTCGTGTGAAGGACGGATAACGGGCGAAGGACGGATGACGGACGATGGTGCGCGAGCAGCGGGGGTGATGGGCGACTTGCGGGGCGGCATCTGTAGTATAGGATCTCGATATGGAAATCCGACGGAAGAAAGATCCGACGAAAGAAGGCGGATAAAAGGTGGCTGTTTGACTTCGGCGACCCGAGGCCGGCATAAACAAAAACCAAACTTCGTCTATTGTCGTCCATCATGTTACTTCCAAACATTCTATATCGCTTCATAACCGGCACTAGCCCAGAACGACTCGCTAACTCGAGGCGGGTCTTGATCTGCCCTCGACCCCGGCGCCAATATCGATCTTGGTAGTTCCATTCGAGACCTTTTAAGCTGGAAGATAATAGAATACATTATTGCAGCTCATGCTGATGTTCGTCAGACATTAACGTCAGGAATTCAGATCAACTGTACCGCGTACTCGTACGTCCTTAATGCAAGGAGAGCCAAGACAACAGGTGAGGTTGCAAGTGGCAGGCTGGCAAGTGCAAGTGCGGCGCAAATGCAGATAATCCTTCTCCGGTGTCCTTGGAGTAACGAGCAAGGTGAAGCGCAAGAATATCGAATATATATAGATAGGATCATCGAGTCTGGCGAAGGGCTCGCAGTCCACAATCTAATAGGAGCATAGCCTCAAAGCTAAGAAAGATTGTTCTTACGATAACGCAAAGTGGTCCTGGAAAAGCATTGGTAAGCATAATCGTTAAAGTGAGGAGTATCGGAATATCGGAGATGGGAGAGGCCAAAAGAGCGATAATCGCTGGCGGTCGCGCTTGCGGGTTCTGGCCATCTGCTGTGCGGACAGGCCCAGAGATTAGTAAACACGAGTAAAATCGGCTGACATCTATTACACCTACTTCATTAGACCTGGCAAGAATCTCGTCATCTTAGCCCGAAGCAGCTGTGCGCGGCATAATAGAGCGGCAAGTTTTTTGTTATGCATCCCGTTCGTTGTTTTCCGGGCGAGTCTTATAAAAAAGATGCGGTTAATTTTTAAAGGAAGAGCCCGAGAACCAAGCTTATATAATCATTATCACGTGCATACTTCGATGGAAACGTCGACAACTGGATCGGCATTAAACAATCTATCAATTCAATTGCGAATTGGAAGGTCTTTCGGCTCTTATAAGCAGTACAGGTCTTGATAAGTCTTAGTCTCGACTTGGATATTGGTCGTATTAATAATCGTTGGATTGTTCATAGATCTTTTAGGTTATGGTTCATTCTCTTCGCAAAAGCCGCAAGGCCAGGTAGCCCGTGACCTACGTAATCCGGGCTGCTTAAGGCCAACTTTCTGAATCGTCGGATTCGCTTGCCTCCGCATGCCCTATCTACTATCAACCCGGGACACTTATCAACCCGGGCCGGGCCATTTATTCTTATACTTGTAAAATTAATAGAAAATCAATTATTCATCGCATCGTAATAATAAATGAATCAAACGCACAATCTGGTTATCTAAAGGTTAATAATTAAAGGGCCCTTTTTTTCAAAAGTATTAGCGCATAAATAGAAACCGGTCAACGTAGAATAAAAAGCGGGGCCGGCCGCCAAAAACACTTGAGTTTGGATTCTGCCGCTTTCATTTAAATCCGGCCCCCTTTTACTTAATTGTCAATTAACAACACAACGTTGCTATGGATATGATCTTATATTTACGCGTAGAATCTCACGGCGAATCTAGCTCTGTAATTTTCAAGTCTATTAGAAGTCGCGTTATAAAAGTATCACCGATGCAATAAAGTATTGGTAAGGTACTGCAAACCGGTCAACGTAGAATAAAAGGCGGGGTCGCTAGGAACATCAAAAATTCGAATTCTATCGCTTTCATTTAAATACGGCCCCTTTCCACCCAATTGTCAATTAACAACACCATGTTATTATAGATATAATCCTATGTTTCTGCGTAGAGTTTCACGGCGAATCTAGCGCTGTAACCTTTAAATCTATTGGACGTCGCGTTATAAAGGCGCTACGGGTATAATATAAACCGTTCTGCATTTCCGAGTGTTTCTGCAGCTTCGATTTACTTTTGATAATACAGCAATATAACCATAACTCCGTTTCAAAAAATGAAAACAGGTTGAGAATCAGCTCAATTGGTCTATATTATTTTTTAGTAAGCTTGTTGATAATGTTCGAGGTTTTATTAGCGTCTTTACTGCTGGTCCAGGCGTTCAGAACTCGTTTCACCTTTCTTTATTAATAGCAGACGACGTTCTCACGGAACCTAGTTAATAAAATTAAATACGCACCGAATCGAGTTGAATAATAGTTAATTGAGATCATTTTGTTTATATGTAGTTGTTTTGTTATGGTATTAGATTAAAGTAATGAAAACTGTACCTTTTGATGTTCCTCGTCCGTGCGCTATCCAGACTCAGCATGCCCTCGCTTAAATCGTTCATGGATTTTTAAGGATAGTTTTTCGTCATGTTTTCACGACATCGCAATGTTTCTACTTGGACCGAGTGAGCACATCTTTTTTTATATAATACATATTTGTATAGCTATTCTTTTTGAGCATGTAGGTAATTTTTTTATTGCGTTTTTATTAGTAGTTGTGGTTTGATGATGGTTTTGATAGAAGTCCCGGGCTACTAGGTATGACGGGTTTTTGCTTGGCGTTCCGGTTGGTAGTGCCGACTCGATCTGACGGATTTTCTCGACGGTGATTTGCTTAATGAACCCATCGATGGAATCTTATGGCTTAGGTATTCAACTGGATTATCTATATTGTTACGTTTCTGTATATCTTGAGAAACTTTATCTTAATATTGTCTGCTTTAGTAACATGTCTAGCTCCGATGACCAAGCTTGCTTACGTCGGCTAAAATAGTGATCTTGCTCGAAATCTTTTGGCCAAGAATATTAAGAATCGGGCTATTTAAGATGATATCAAAGATATAAAAGTTCGTTTAGACTATCCGAAGCGGTTTAAAAATATAAACTATAGTTTTGATCGGAATTTACACGGTTTCGAAGAAACCGTCGGATTTTTTTGTTTACTGTTTTTTATACTGGAACTTATTACCTTTCACTTCACAATTATATTAGAAGCCATACTTCTTATTAATCAATTCGGATCCTAAGGGATTGAAAAGACATATAAACATCTAGAAGGATATATGAGCCGGGGCAGGTTTATGTTGGCTAGATAATCAAGACGCAGCCGCTTATATATAGATGCAAGCCTCATATAGATGCACATACATATCGAGCTCTTTAAGCTTTGCGATCTGATTCCGTTCCGTAAAGAAATCAAGCTACATCCGTACGCTAGCTTCACTTATAACGTACGCGTTTTTAAACATATATAAAGACACCGACCGAGCTGATATCCACGAACTTGAGAGTTCTTGAAATGGTAGCGAAATCAAAGTATCTAAGCCGTTTCGATCCAATGATTTTGATCAAAAGAACCTAACTATACTTTTGATCATCTTGCGAATAAATCTTATTGTAATCGGAAATCTTTGCCAAGCAATATTCTCGTAGCTTCAATCTATTTGATATAGTAAATGCACTATCAGATATCTTAAGACTTATGGTAACGGTTGGGATAGTAATAGTAATTGTTGATATATTTATATCGACCTAAGTTAGTTAGTAGTAGTTGGGGGTGATGTGGCCAACTGGTTGACGGGTGCCTCGCTTAGCATGTCACGCCGTTCAAGGGACCCCTAACTCGACTGTAAAACCTGCTATTTAGCTAGTGCACGTGAATCCTTCTAATCGTATAGAAGGAGTCAGCTCCCCTGAATTCTGGGAAACATACAGAATTCAGATACCTTTCAAACCGAGTGTTTTGCAATTGCAAGTACTTTGACGACGTCACGAATATTAGGACTAAATCGCGACCGGCGATCCAACAGTAATAGTAGTATTGATTCACGTCGGGCGGGTATGTAGCAAGCAAAACTTGCCGCCCCGAGACCTGCTATAGGGTTCGGCAACGTGCTAAGCTGAGGAGTTACATACAAGATGGCCTTAGAAAGCATTTTAAGGTGGAGCAGCGTAGCTGCCATCAACTGCGCAGTGGTGGTTGGGATGGATGGTTGTTTACTATTTTTTGAGACTAATTCTTTGTTCTTGATCTAACCACTTGATCGTATTCCGATACTAGCAATTCTATATTTACGATAAATAACTTCCTATTCTACTTCAAACAACCTGTCTCTAAAATCCCTCGTCCCGAAATGCCTTCGAACTTATTAGACCGTACGGCAAGAAGCTACCTTTTGCTGCTACGAACCTGATCGGTATGTTTAAACTGCATGTATTTGCAGAATTGCGGCCCTTCCAACTAGAAGCATATACTATCTAACGCTTCCTTCGTACAGTGTTATGCGGAACAAGCATACCTAAAGTTCCACCCAAGCTACATATGACATATCATATGACCTCGCTTAATAGCGCCCTTAGCATACTAAAGCTTTTAAATACATGTACATAAATCTTGACGAGCTTTTTAAATAAAATATATTAAGCTTCATTCAATCTGCAGAATCTCTTTTTGATCTTAGTGCTAGTAAGCATTATAATTAAAAGCTATATTCGCACTTACGAGCTATTCAATTAATCTTTAATAACTTTCGAATGTATCGAGAGCGGATTTTGCAAGTCACTTTTACGCTACTTCGCTATAATTTTCCTTTTTACAATCTGTCTTTTTCAATTATATATATTCCTTACAACTAATACTTACTACCTTTAAAAACTTTAACCAATTTTCAAAAGCTTTAATTACAAAATCAATTGCTATAATAATAGACGATAAAGTAAAAGAATTTCTCATAATAAATAAAACGAACTTTATAAATCGTAGCGATTATTTAAAATAAATTACAAATTATAAATACTTTATCAAGTGCTTTAATATAAAACAATACGCAGCTCTTCGTATTAGCATAAAAGAACTTGCTCTTTTTATCGAGCAGATCAAACTAAAAACGAAGTCTATTACGGAGATGATAACAGAGCTTAATAACGACTTCTATTAGAAATTTAGAATTAAAAACGCGATTACAAGACATAAGATAAACAACATTTAAAAGCTTCTTTCGACGATCTTAATAAACCTCGACGATTACGCGACGCTGATTTCGAAGACGTTTGAAAAGCCTATAACGATAACATAAGAGAATATAATTTCGCAATCGTTAATTAAAAAATCTTAAGTAGCAAAGCTGCAAAAGCAATCAAATCATAAACTAGATTAAACAAACGGTTAAGAGCTTTATTTTCGAAAAAGCGATCTTAACGGTTATAAAAGCGAACAACACTTTTATTTAATTCTTAATAAAAAAGCTTTAAAAAACGTGCCGTTTATCCGACTCGAGCTTTAAGCTATCGATAGTACGAAACTATAACAAATCTTTACAAGTAGCTAAATAAAAGAATATCTTTTCAACGGTTTAAATCAAAGAATACTGAGCTATTTATAAGTTAGCGAAAATAAACGAAATTTATAAAACGACGAGCATATTCGCAATAAAAGCATTTTTAAAAGCTATTGTGGTGGAGTTGGGGCTTTGTATTTGTTTTGTCCATGTATATACTATATAGTACTGATGCTAAGCACCTTTGTCACGTGGGTGCGCTCCATGCTTTAGCCCTGCTAGGCACGTGGTTAGGTCACGTGCAAGCTCTTATATAAACGAGTAGTTGATTCTTCTTTAAACTAGCACCATATCATTATATAATATAATACACGTATTTATAAAGCACATTCGAGTGTCTTTCGATCGTCTTTCTTTTTTCCTTTTATTTACTTACGATTTTATTATAATTATATATATATATATCTTTTGATTTAACGTTGGGTATAT